GAAAATATTTGATTTACAAAAAGGAATCCTACTTCGCGGAATTTCATTTATCACGGTAGGGTCTAGAACCGATTAACTGCGATAAACGAGGGTTCACTGTATTGGGATTGTGGGGGTAAGGAAGCATTTAAGAATTGGAGGAAAGTTGTATGTTTCATCATTGCTATGCTTCACCCTGACTGGCTCATTTCCTCCATGTGACCTTTTTGTAAGCAGATGTCCAGTTACCTACAGATGGGCTTTGGGTCCCCACTCCCCACTCCCCGCATTCACCATATGATTTTCTGTTCTTTGATGCCTGATTCCTGATCTCATCGACACCTCATGATCACACTGGTTTGTGTGCTTCTTCCATGTGAGCTTCGTTGCTTCTCAGCTGGATGGCTGTTTGTTTATCTTTAAGCTTTTAAGACCCCAGACACTATATCTTTTGATAGATGGGCACCATCAGCTTTCTTCACCACATTTACTTATGCACCTGCTTTGTCTTCAGCAATTGTGTCGGGAAGGTGAGCATCATTTAATTCTGGTTTAATAGAATGAAATGTTCTTGCATTGAGTACTCAAAATCCTAAGAGACTAATCTTATTGGTCTTATTGAATAGACTGGTGACACCTCTAAGAGTAACCCCTTTGTGATGGCTAGAGCTTATGTCAACTTGCTGTACCTGTGTGCAGGGAGAAATGAAGTTCAACCTCTCAATCAGGTGGTAACCTGGGGATGCCTCCTTGGGGGTGTGGCCTTTTGATAAGAGAGACAAGGAGGAGGATTGAGCCCTCTCTTGCTTTTTGCTTGCTTGGATTGGGCATCTGGCTCTGGAGTTGGTGGCCTGTGCAGCCTGCCAACCATGGGAGCTTTGGTGACCTGGCATGTTCCTACTGACCTTGGATCCATTCATCTCTACACCCATCCCATCGGCCAATGACCTCTCAGCTTCCTGTTTCCCATCCGTGTTTCATTAACCAGCAGCTACCTGCTTCATGTATGAGAGCCTTCAGCTAGCATCTAACTCATGGACTTGACTTGCACTGGGCTGGGTCATTTCTTGCTATGAAATTTAGTCTTGAATAAAGCTCTTTCTTAAACACATATGAGTGTTACTGGATTTGTTCCTCTATAAAATCTGGCCAACACACACTTAGTCACCCTTCAGGTTTAAACGTGTATTCATGTGCATGTTATAATAATGAATTTTAAAAAATAATGAATTTTTAAGATTAAAACACCATGAATAGATACTTGAATATACTGGGCATGTGTGGATGAGAGAGTGGGAATGTACCCATATATATCATACCCATTACAGAACTATATATATGCTTTATAATTATAACCATGAATATGGTAGAAAATACAAGGGGAAAAGTTATGGAAACTTCTTAAACATAATCAAATATTTTAATGGAGTAAGTCTCTGGGCCTGTGGGCTCAGAAGCAGAGTTTTGGCCAACATCAGTGTAATTGCCTATTATTCTTAATGTTTTCTTTGGAATTTAAAAAGTTATAATTGTGATGGAGTACAATTTATCATTATTTTAAGTGATTATCCTATATTATATGAGGAAAATCTAGGACATATGAAGAATGAAGCATCAGGAATGGAGGAAGTTTTATTAATAGCCTGTGATTTGCAGGTGACATCATCTTGCTTGCTGAAAGTGAGGAGGACTTGAAGCACTTGCCAATAAAGGTCTAGGATCGCAGCCTTCAGTGTGGATTACAGTTCAATGTAAAGACAACCAAAATCCTCACAACTGGACCAATAGGGAACATTATGATCAATGGAGACAAGTTTTCAAGGGATTTGTCTTTCTTGAACCTACAATCCCTGCTTGGATCTACAATCAAAGCAGCAGTCAAGGGACCAAAAGAGGCCTTGCATTAGGTAAATCTACTACACACGACATGTTTAGAGTTTTGAAAAGCAAGATAAGACATACATAAAGAATTTTCTTTTTCTATCTGCTTGTTTGTGGTCAATAATAGCATCCAGTGATTATTCAGAAACCTGAGTTAAAGTATCTGTGTGCAACTCCCCCATGATCTGAACACCATCAGTGTATTTGGAGCACAAGTGGGCTGCCACAGACACAGCCTGCACTCCTGTTGGTCTCCAACTGGTCCGTCTAACTTGGAGTTAGTGAAGTGCCTCTGGTGCCTCAGGGCACAAAGCCTTGTTACAGGTAACAGATCCCAATTTAATGATCTCATTTAACACTTCAAAGTCCAATGATACTGCTATCATGTTTCTTTCTCTAATCAAAATACAATACCTGCACAATCAGGAGATTTGGGTGATAGTTATACTTGATAGTGTTTACAAAAATGGAAAGGTGATTAAAGGAGCATATGTGTATGTTGTGATGTTTTCAAAAAGATTAGTTTCATAGTCAGACTGTTGAAGACACAGACTGATTTTAAGGAGAGAAAATAATATAAATACAGATGCAATCACAATACATAAAGATTAAGGCATCTTTTCATTTTCTTATTTTTAACTGCTGCAAAAAGCAATAGAAAGGGGAGAGAAAGCATGAGATGTGGTAAAATATAGTAACTTCAATTGCTTAGACAGTACATTTTATTGATCAGTGAAAAGATTGAAAATAGATGGTTATATATTTGGGGGGGGGGGGTTTCAATTCTAGAATATGACAAGAAAAATGTCCTAAATCTGATATTTGTTGTAACTAAGTAGATTCCAGGTGAGTGAATTGGCTCTGCTGCTCCATGATATATACCCTTAATAAATGAAAACAATAGGAAGACATGAGTTACCAAATTTAGAAATCCATAGGCAAATGTATATTTCAAATTAGTATTTGAAAGGAAAACTGTTGGCAAATATAATGTTGCCCAGAGTACACATGGAAGAAGAGAATATGACTTAAGTAGAAGCGTATATTGATCTTCATATATTACAGAAAAATTCCCCAAACCTAATCTATTTAATTTCCATAATAACAGCTCTGATGGGCTGAAATAGACTGGTATTGATCATTTTGTATCAGACAATCATAAGGCTTGCTGGGAAGACAAATTCAAAAGGAATCACATCACACTTTTTATGAAAAGGAATATTTTGAGTTCTATCCTGAAGTACAAGTAGAGACTAATACTTTTGTGCCTAAAAGGAAATAAAGTTAATACTGTTATTACTCATTTTTACACACTAAAGGTACTGAAGAAGAAA